GGGGGGGGGGGGGCTTTTCCAAATGATACACATTTCAGAATAAGTATTGTACAGAATCATTTGACATGGCATATTCTTGTCATACTGCCGTTTGAAATATCTGAGGGCGTTTGTCTTAGACATGAGGAAATCTTCGTTCAAATCTCCCAAAACAGTTTGTGTTGCTCGGTTTTACCATCGATTCATATTTATAAGAATATGAAAATGTTGTTGGTACAACTGAAAATCTCGGAGCAAATCCCTAAATGCATCTTAATATGCAGCCAAATGTAATTGCCATGTTGTTTTTGACTAATTCAGCACACTTTCATACGTACCAAGGAACCGTTAAATGATATATTAAAACGTCCAAAAGAGAATGGCCGTTTGAATTGATGGATAATTTGTGGCTCACATAAAGTGTTTACTTTTGGTAGACATAATGAAGTGCAGCTTCTTGCTTGCTCATGTTACGTAATGTATGTTGGATTTAGAGTGTAACCGATGCTCTCATTATCAACATTTTGGCTGCTGCATTCCAGGTGTGCTTTCTCACACACACACACACACACACACACACACACACACACACACACACACACACACACACATTGAGAAGATAAGGGTATGACGGAAAAAAAAAATTGAAGCGGTGGTAGATCGAAACCGTGCAACAGGCTTTAAAAGGTTCGGGATGAGAACTGAGCAGACACTGAGGCTCAGACAAGGATCGCGATGAAGGCTTTCATTCTTCTGGCGCTGTTCGCAGTGGCTTGTGAGTATCGATCAGACATATTATTTGGTGACTGACTTGTAAAACAGTCACCCCAACGAGACATAATCATTGGGTCTTTCTGGAATTCAATCAGTTGCCGCTCCCATTGATGATGAGGACGACAAGATTGTTGGTGGATACGAGTGCAGAAAGAACTCTGTACCCTACCAGGTGTCTCTGAACTCTGGCTACCACTTCTGCGGAGGTTCCCTGATCTCCAGCACCTGGGTGGTGTCTGCTGCTCACTGCTACAAGTCGTAAGTCGTAACACAGCTGACATGAAACTTCTGCGGGACTTTGAACTTGGCATCACCGTCATGTGCGTTTCTGTGCAGCCGCATCCAGGTGCGTCTCGGTGAGCACAACATCGCCGTCAACGAGGGCACGGAGCAGTTCATCACCTCCAGTCGGGTCATCAGACATCCCAGATACAGCAGCCGCAACCTGGACAACGACATCATGCTCATCAAGCTGAGCAAGCCCGCCACCCTGAACAGCTACGTGCGCACCGTGTCCCTGCCCTCCAGCTGTGCCGGCTCAGGCACCCGCTGTCTGATCTCTGGATGGGGCAACATGAGCGGCTCTGGAAGTCAGTTAAAAAAAGAAAAACCCTCAAGGGGATCCACTTATTCCATGTATCAGCACTCACGTGTGTCCTTTCCTCCTCTTCAGACAACTACCCTGACCGTCTGAGGTGCCTGGATGCCCCCATCTTGAGCGACAGCAGCTGCAGGAACTCCTACCCTGGACAGATCACCTCCAACATGTTCTGTGCCGGATTCCTGGAGGGAGGCAAAGACTCTTGCCAGGTAAGAGCAACAAGATCACAGATTCTGAAAGTGAACAAAACCAAGCTTTTGTGCTCATGCTGCATTTGGTACCTGTGCAGGGAGACTCCGGTGGCCCCGTGGTGTGTAACGGCCAGCTTCAGGGTGTCGTGTCCTGGGGTTACGGTTGCGCCCAGAGGAACAAGCCTGGTGTTTACGCCAAGGTCTGCAACTACAACTCCTGGATTCGCAGCACCATGTCATCCAACTAAAGACATTGCTTGTTGGAACATTCGTGCGTCAAGAAAATAAATTGTAAACCTCAAGCTGATGTTATTGTTGTGGTGTACTCTTCACTTTTCACTTGGAACTTTCTGTGCCGTAACTCAAGCTCTTTAGGAACATATATTTCGCCATCATTCCAAGGAACACTGTAGCCACAGCTCACACTTTTGCGCAGAGGTATGTTCCAAGTCTTTTCAGCAAATCTACCAAAAATAGCCCAAGGGTGATGGCACGTTAAAAAAAAAGGACATTTATTGACGACAAACTACAGCACTATCCATACAAGTTATGTAAATGTGAAAAATGTTCTTGCAAGAGTCAATCAAGTCAAAATTCAGTCTGAAATTTGCTTTAGGGCAGCAGTTCGTCAAGACAGAGGGTCAACAATTCAGCAAATGATATATTTTATAGTGCAGGTTGTTCATTGGAAAATGTAGAATTGATTCTTTTCTGACAACACAGCTGCTCGTCATTAACAAAATTCAGATGAGTTTTTTTTTTTAACTAAATCCTGTATATTCAGAGCTTGAAAATGAATTCAAAGATGCATGTTAAAAATGACAAAACAAAAACACAATCCAGTACGAGGTGACAAAGGTTAGTGACTTTTTAATGGGTAACTCTGACAATTACGAGCAAAAATGGTTACGCTCTGTCGTGCGGTATCTTTGAACATCATGAATCAAAAATATATACATTCGGTGTACAGTACTGTAAAAATGTTTTCTGGTACTAGAATGCAATGCTGAGTGGATATGCTCGCGGTGGCATTATATGACGATATTAGGCTATTACACTTGCCCTCGCGCATGTTGCAAATAGTGATGATAAAGATCTGAGAGGACAGCATATTCATGACCACACATGGCACAAATAAGACCTTGTGAAGACCCCTTTTGGGGAGATGGATATCTGTTTGCAGTTCTCGGAGGTGCTTTTTGCTTTTTTAGCACATCCCGATCTTTTCTGGGGCGCCTGGGTGGTTTCTCGCGCATGTGTGTGGTTCTGGCACTTTGGGCACTTTTATCCAAGCCAAAATCCTGCTTTTGGTCAGACGAAGTCCAAGTCAGAAAGGGGGACTCCTTTGGGTGCAAGTCTTGATTTTGGGAAGCCAAACGAGCACTGCCTTTTGGGACTGATGACGCAAGGGTGTTGTTTCCCGATTCAAACGAGAGTGTTACCGCTTGCCGGTTTGTCACCGGATTTAACATGCTAGTCGACTGTGCAGAATGATCATACAAGGACTGATCCAAAACAGGGCCGAGGCGTATGACCTGTGCTGAGAAATGACAAAGTTGGTGACTGAACAACAAATCAAGAGTTTTAAAACGACTTGTGCACTGATCACAATTGTAAGGCAGGAACACAGTCTTGGGCTTTGAGTGAATCCAACGGAAGCCCGGGTGCTCGCTCATATGATTTTTGTAGGACTCGACAAAACGGAATCCTTTCCCACATAACGCGCAGGTGAAGCGACCGCGACGTTGCCGGTGGACTCTTTGATGACGCCACAGTTTGGTCCAGTTTTGAAGAGTCTTCCCGCAATAAGAGCAGGCGTAACTCTGATGTGGAGCGTGAGTCAGCATGTGGGCCCGGAGTCTTCCTATATGCCTGAACAGGCGACCGCAACTGGGGCATAAATAACTCCTGGGGTCCGATCGGTTGTCTAGTTTGTTCAATTTTGACACAAAATGCGAAAGAAGACGAGTCCGTGTCACTGTCCGTTTGATCGAGTTGGCGTTATTGCAGATCATTTGTGACGGTGGTCTTTTGTGGTTTTCACTTTTGCCGTTTGCGGGCGGGGGGTTTAATTTCTGTTCCGATGAAATCCTATGCGCAGACACTGTGTACTCGACGACCGACATTCTCTCTTCCTCCTTGACCCCAACGCAGGAGCCTTTTTGTTCTCCTTGGCACAAACCGCAATGGGCATGAAACTCAGAGAGCAGGCCAAACAGTTTGTCACAATACAAACAACGATACAGCTTTGTACCAATGTGAGCGCTCATGTGCTTGTTGAACTTCTGCAGGTTGTCCAAAACATTCTTGCAGATGTGACACGTGTACGTCAGGGAAGGTTTTGCTATCTGTTGGCTAGGCTCGATTAGGGAGCTGCTTTCCGGAGGTCTGCACGTATGATTTTTTGCATTGCTATAATGACTGAAAGACTTTTTACAGCCCGTACAGTTGTAACGCTTCACCGACCAATGCGTCAGCTCGTGCACT